CTCAGAGGACATTGTTCAGTAAATCCTCAAATGAAAATGAATCCTTAACTAAGGCCAGTTATAAAGTTGCCTACGTCCTGGCTAAAAGTGGCAAACCCTTTACAGATGGTGAAGTAGTGAAGGAATGTTTGTTGGAAGTGGCTGAGGAACTTTGCCCAGAAAAGTCAAAACAATTTGAAAATGTAGCTTTGGGTGCGAATAACATTGCTTGCCGTGTTGCAGACATGGGTGAAAACATTGTGACTCAAATAGCGAAAAATGCAAGCAAGTTTCGCCATTTTTCAATTGCAATGGATGAATCGCTGGACAGCTGCTCCACCTCTCAACTGCTTGTGTTCATTAGAGGTGTGGATGAAGACATGAACATAACACAAGAGCTGGCTTCCCTACATAGCATGTATGGCACTGTTACCGGAGAGGATATATTCAATGAGTTGAAAAAAACATTTGCTGATTATAACTTGGACTGGACTAACCTCAGTTGCCTGACTGTTGATGGAGGAAAGAACATGAGTGGCATAAAGAAAGGCTTGGTTGGACAAGTGAAGCAGATGTGTAATGAGAAAAACATTATACAACCAATGTTCCTGCACTGTATTATTCACCAGCAAGCTTTGTGTGCTAAATATGTGGACATTAGCAGTGTACTGAATCCTGTGGTGAAGATGGTGAATTTAATAAGGTCACATGGGCTCAACCATAGACAGTTCAGAGACATGTTGAAAGATACAGACACAGAATCGCAAGATTTACCATATTACACAGCAGTAAGATGGCTAAGTTGTGAGAAAGTTCTGAGCAGAGTATTTAAGTTAAGAAAGGAAATAGGTGACTTCCTGGAAAGTAAAGGCAAGCCACAGCCATTACTGTCTGATGAAGAGTGGGTATGGAAATTGGCTTTTGCTGCAGACATAACTAGTCATTTAAATTTTCTGAACCTAAAACTACAAGGAGAGCAAAATCTAGTTTCTGATCTATACACCCACCTAAAGGCCTTCAGATCCAAACTTGTCTTGTTTTTGGAACAAGTACAGGCCAACAACTTGACGCACTTTCAGCAGTGCAAGGTCTTCATGGCTGAAGCAACAGCTGAGTTCCCCACGTCATTTGCATGCGAGATCATCAAAGACCTCCAGCTGCAGTTTCAGCAGCGGTTTTCTGACTTGGATTCAAAGGCAGAAGAAGTGAGATTGTTTCAAAACCCATTTGAAGCAGATGTGGCCAGTTGCCCAGATGAACTGCAGCTGGAAGTCATTGAGTTGCAAGCAAATGACCTCCTTAGGGACAAGTTCAAAATAGGACTGGTGGGTTTTTACCAGTTTTTGCCCAAGGAAGACTTTCCTAATGTCAAAACTTTTGCATCAAGGTACCTTTCAATCTTTGGAACAACATACCTGTGTGAACAAACATTTTCAAGAATGAAATATGTGAAGAACAATTTGAGAACAAACTTGTCCGATGATAATCTCAGGTCACTGTTGATGTTAGGGACAACAAATCTAAAGCCAGAAATGTCTGCTATTTTGGCATCCAGGAAACAATTTCACCATTCACACTAATACAGGTGTTCATGTGTAGTGTATCAATGTGTTATTAAATAATAACTGAATAAAATAATATTAAATAAATAATTAAAAACAATATCCATGTTTTGATTGTTTTTTATTTGGACCTCAAGTGTGTAGTCGGCCCCCGAACTGCTGTTTGATAGTTAATGCGGCCCTCGGGCTGAAGAGTTTGGAGACCCCTGGTCTAGACAGTATTTGGTCCTGCCATGAGGGCAGGGGACTGGACTTGATGACCTCTCGAGGTCCCTTCCAGTCCTAGTATTCTATGATTCTATATTATGTACAAGGCCACAGTTATGCTTTTAAGCAGCCACCATGCAGCAGGTACACCACCGAGTTCTTAGGGAAGCAGCTAGACTCAGTTTGGCAGCAGGCCAAAGCTTGAGACTGTGGGAAGGAGAAAGTCTGAGGGTGGTGGCGGGGCCTGTGTCTTTGGCACCCCGTTTGCCAGGAAAGTTCAACTTCCCTATCCACGGGAACATACGGGCAGGTGGGGGAAAGAGGTCCAGGCATAGTGGTAGGGCAGAAGCTCACACGGTGCCCAGGTGTTTGGCACCCCATTTGCCAGGAAACTGCAACTTTCCTTCCTATGGGACCATGAAGGCAGGAGGTAAGAGGGCATGGAAGCAGGGAAAGACAGGGGCTCATGCCTGAGCAAACAGAGGTTTACTTCAGAGATATTGGCTAATAGCTTTTCTGGTTTATTCAGATTGCCATGCAAAATATCAGTATTCAAATATCTCACAGAGTGATAGGGAGCAGATGCTGACTGATTGTGGCCAGAAACCTGGACCTTAGTCTGCAATGCTTTGTGATGCAATGATGCCAGGCCACTTACTGCTGGCTTGGCATGGAAAGGTGTCCTACCATGGAGGATGGAATAAGGCTTGCCTCCCTGGAAAACTTGTGGGAAAGATTAAAGAGTTCCTCTATGAGAGCTTCCTGGAGATGTTCAGGGAGGATTCCCACTGCATTTCCAGTCACGTTAACAAGTTGTTCTAGGGAATCCACCACTGTGTGGGCAAATTAGGTGGCACAGATCACACCCAAATGCTTTAACCCACTTGTAGCATGATGAAAAATGTGAACTCACCAGAAGTGCCCTCTCCAGGATCAGTGCCTGGCTGTAAGATGTCCTGGGAGGCAGCGATTAACTCCAAAGACCTAGGTATTGGTGACATCAGTTACCCTGCTCACATGCTGGAACATTCTCCTCCACCTCCTCTTCCTCATCCACATTGTTCGCCAAACTGCTACCTGTGGCTACCAGTGTCTTGGGAGGAATCCATGGACTGGATGAAGCTGGTAGGATCTCCCCTAGGATCACATGCTGCTGCTCATAGAAGCAGCATGTTTGTGGCAATGATCCAGACTGTCCATTTGCCTCCTTGTCTTCTAGTACAACCACCTCAGCGCCTTATTTGTACGCAGCACTGCTGAGCATGCCTGTCGTATCCTTTCTCCTCCATGCCATTTGCAATCTTGGCATAGATTTCTGCATTCCTTGTGCTGGTTCATAATTCTGCAAAAACAAGTTTCTCTCTCCAGCTAGGAATGAGGTCCAGGATTTCTTGCATGCTCCATGCTGGTGTGCATCTGTGACCCTGAAAACTCATGGTCATGTATACTGCTTACTCTGTGGTCTGCTTGCGCTGGCCACACAGGAAGTGAAATTCAAATTTTCCCAGGGCCTTTTCTGTTCACCTGGAGAGCAGTAGAGTTGGAAGTGGCCGGATCAGTCATTGCGGAGCACTGTGGCATACCTCCCAGAAGCTAATAACTTTGACTTCCACAGCACTTTGTTTGTATTACTGTAAAGTTGACTATTGAAGGTCTAATTTACCATTACTCCTCATGAAAAGTAGGAATACTAAAATTGCCTTTGAAAACCCCTAAAGTCGATTGAACTGGCTTGGTGGTGTAGACTCATTGTTTAGAACAGGGGTGAGGAACATCAGGCCTGTGGGCTGGATATAGCCCCCAGTTTGCATGGATCGGGCCTCTGATGCTCAGGGCTCCATCCCAGCTTTGGGGAACCCATCGCCCCACAAGGGGCTGGAACACACAAAATCTACTAGTCTGGGCTTCCCCCAGACTCTGGCGTGTGAAGGAAATGTGGGAAGTGTCTTTCTCCTTCTCAGTTAAGGACCACATCTGTGGGGGGTTTGGATATTTTTTTCTTTTCACTTGTGTGCAAAGTGATTTTTCTGTGGGTCAGCGGCCCGGGACCTAAAAAAGGTTCGCCACCCTTGGTCAGAAGTTCGACCTAATGCGGCTACATTCTACCTAAACTCTCAGAGTAGGCCATTTTACCAAGCTCGGATACGTGTTCATAAGACCTCTGAATAAAAATGAATAATTGGTAGGGCACAAAGCTAGAGAATCAATTCATTCCCTAACTAAACAGTTATTTCCTAGTCAGGAATGTATTCTTCTCTTTGATACACATTCCACGTGCTTCGCATTATTAATTGCTGAACTGATTATGACATGCATGCTATTTTCCCCTACCAAGGAACTGGATGACATCCTTCTGGCTTCCCACTTCCCTGAAGCAGGAGTTTTAACTGCTGCTCTACCCCAGAAACAGAGCTTGAGCATACCCTGCCCACCGTCCACGGTGCAGAAGGACAGACTGATGGGCACTGGCAGGGAGTGAGGTTTAACCCAAGGGGGTACGATTGAGACACAACGTGGCCCCCCTAAGGGCTGCAAGCCTGTTCTAGCCCTAGAGACTATTGGAAGGGGACGGAGGCACAGGAGGCGATTCTCACCCAGCACAGGGTTTTCTTTGGCAGTGGTGAAAATAACTTAACATTTCTTACAGGCATTGCAGTGGGGGTCCCTGCCAGCTCTTTAACTAGCTCCCCGCTGGCTTCTGCCGCAGCTCAGGCAATTCTGCAGAGGGCACGCCCGCTTACTTTCACCTCCGCTCTTTACGCACAGGAGACCGCCCATAGCGGCGGCTGGAGACGAGGCCTGGAGGGAAGTGGGTCGGCGGGGCTGGGAGACAGGCAGCCCCTGGG